ACACACACACAGACACACACACAGACACACAGACAGAGACACACAGAGAGAGACACAGACACACACACAGACACACACAGACACACACAGACAAACACACACAGACAAACACACACAGACACACACACACAGTGAGACACACACACACAGTGAGACACACACACACAGTGAGACACACAGACAGTGAGACACACAGTGACGCACACAGACACACACACAGTGACACACACAGAGACACACACACACAGACACACACACAGACACAGAGAGAGACACACAGAGAGACACACACAGAGACACAGACCACACACAGAGACACAGACACACACACACAGTGAGACACAGACACACAGTGAGACACACACACACAGTGAGACACACACACACAGTGAGACACACACACACAGTGAGACACACACACACAGTGAGACACACACACACAGTGAGACACACACACAGTGAGACACACACACACAGTGAGACACACACACAGAGTGAGACACACACACACAGTGAGACACACACACAGTGAGACACACACACACAGTGAGACACACACACACAGTGAGACACACACACACAGTGAGACACACACACACAGTGAGACACACACACACAGTGAGACACACACACAGTGAGACACACACAGTGAGACACACACAGTGAGACACACACAGTGAGACACACACAGTGAGACACACACAGTGAGACACACACACACAGTGAGACACACACACACAGTGAGACACACACACAGTGAGACACACACACACAGTGAGACACACACACACAGTGAGACACACACACACAGTGAGACACACACACACAGTGAGACACACACACACAGTGAGACACACACACACACAGTGAGACACACACACACAGACACACACAGAGAGACACTCACCATGCTGACCACGTGGTCTGTCTTGGTGTCCAGCCGCGAAACTTCGCGGCAGGCTGATGACGTCACACGAAGCCCCCCGTCGCCTCCCGTCTCTGCGCAGTGACGTCATTACGCGATGACGTCATTACGCACGCCTGCTGAAAGACGTCATCGCGCTGTGACGTCACACAGACAACAACCACAACAATTTCCATTCGCTACTAAGTGGCGGTGACGTCACCACGACGCTTGTGCCAGGCCATGTGCACCTTGAGGCCACGTGAAGTGTCGATCGCCCGCGGGCAGGAGGTCACGGGGCAGACCCAGGTGCCACGGGTCGACTGACTGAGATGACTGGCTGTTGCACCACCTGTGCCCCCTACTGTGCCAACCTGCTGTGCTTTAGCCACCCGGCGCTCCGCTCGTTGTTGTGAGCGTCGCTCCTCCGCCCTCCGTTGTTGTTGAAGGGCGACTGCCTCCAACTGCCCAGTAGCAGCGTCCTTCACGAGCCTCCTCCACAGAGGCCGATCTTGACACCGCTGGTACCGGTCATCGGCAAGTCCACTCAGCTCCACGTCCTCCTGTAACACATCACTCCATCTCTTCTCTAGCCCGTGCCGCGCCCGTTTAGCCCCCTCGATCCGGCCGAACAAAAGCTGTTTCGGCATGCGGTGGCTGGGCATGCGGGCTACATGACCCAGCCAACGCAGCCTTGCCTGCCGGAGGAGCTCACCAATGGGACCTTGCCCAGATCTTTCAAGGATTTGTGAGCTCCTCACACAATCCAGCCTGGTTAAACCCAGGATTGATCGTAGGCAGGCCAGCTTAAATGTTTCTAATCGGTGCAAATGTTCCATTAGGGAGGTCTACGTTTCGCAAGCGTAGAGAAGGGAGGGAATGACCGTGGCCGAGAAGACCTGAAGCATAGTGCGGAGCGACAGACCAGGTAGCTTCCACACAGCGTTACGCAACCGATGAAAAGATATTGCCGCTCGACTGATTCGGAGTGAGACCTCTGCTGTTAAACCAGAGCCAGTCATAAGCACACTGCCCAGGTATGGGAAACTCTCCACTCTCTCCACAACTGCCCCATCACCGATTGGGAGTTGTGGGGGGTGGAGTGTCCGATGGCACAAAATACCCAGGCAGGTGCTTAGATTTGGTGGGGCTGATGGTAAGGCCCCACCTCTTAGTGGCACGCTCCACGTTCAGCAGCAGCGTCTCCAACTCCTCCTCTGAATGAGCAGCAATTACCAAATCATCGGCATGCATAACGCGGTTGAGCAATAGGGAGCCATCCCTTGACCGCACCCGGGCATCGATTAGCCTCCCAGTTGTGTCTGTGTTTGATATACAAACACAGACACAACTCCAACCGCACTCTTTGGTTCTGTTCGGTGAACTCACGCGGGTAAAAGCAAAACAACAGAAAACGCGACGTTTCGGCCACAACACAAGCGGCCTTTCTTTTTCTCACTCCAGCGCAGCCTTCAGGACAGTCCGGCCCCTTCGCCTGACGAAGGCCGCTTGCGTTGTGGCCGAAACGTCGTGACTTCACCGATTAGAGCCAAAGCACATGTGGATCCTCCTTCAACAACTTCAACCACTAAGAGGTTTTTGGTTTCAAAATTGAGCAACCATTGGAAGGATGCTATGAACCAGGTCCAACGTTGGCTGCCTTGTCATTGTGCAGCCATTTCCATTGCTTTCAGTGGGTTGTAGGTACCTGTGCATCTCTTACCCCAAGACCCCCCCCTGCAGCATTAACAAAAGGCGGCTTAACTTAGCCCTTTCCCCCCACCCACGTCCATTCCTGGCCCCCCCCCCCCCCCCCATTAACCTGTATGTTAGACTGATGGCCTTAATCTTAGTTGTCTTGTGGTTGTTGTTGTTATTTCTTCTTTGGTTCTTTCGGTAAAGTCACCACCACGTAGAATGAGAATAAAATAATAAATTGATAGAATAAAATAACACAATAATATTCTCACGACGTTTCGGCCACAACACAAGCGGCCTTCATCAGCGGCCTTCATCGGGAGGCTGTCTGGAGGACAGCGCTGGAGTGAGAAAGCCACGCTGGCTTTCTCACTCCAGCGCTGTCCTCCAGACAGTCTCGTCCCCTTCACCTGATGAAGGCCGCTTGTGTTGTGGCCGAAACGTCGTGAGAACATTCTTGTGTTATTTTATTTTATCAATTTATTATTTTGTTCTCATTCTACGTGGTGGTGACTTTACCGAAAGAACCAAAGAAGATGAATCCTTGCAGTCACGAAAGCTTTAAATCGAAGTTGTTGTTGTTGTTGTTGTTTGACTTTGCATCCCACTGGGATTTTTGCACACAGCGTTGGCGGTGTAGACGGTGCTATTTCAGGAATATTTTGATGGTTTTTTTTTCCCTGGATTTTTCTGTTTGCACAGTCACACACACACAGTAGTCACTTTAAGATGTTTTGTCTTGTTCGTGTTTTTGTTTGTTGCATTTGCAACCGATTCAAGAGCCGAATGGCTCACAGGGCTATGCCAAATAAATGAAACTATGAACTATGTAATCTTGGGTGTCTCAAAGCCCTTCGCTTGATACAGATATTCTGCTGTGGCTGTTCCGCCGGAAGACGGAAGCTTGTTTTGCCTCCGTAAACGTCGTGACCATAGAGATACAGAGACGCATAGAGTCTCATAGAGACCCATAGAGATACAGAGACTCGTAGAGTCTCATAGAGACAGATAGAGATAGAGAGACTCATAGATAGAGACCCATAGAGATACAGAAACTCATAGAGTCTCATAGAAACCCATAGAGATACAGAGACTCATAGAGTCTCATAGAGACAGATAGAGATACTCATAGATAGAGACCTATAGAGATACAGAGACTCATAGAGTCTCATAGAGACCCATAGAGATACAGAGACTCATAGAGTCTCATAGAGACAGATAGAGATAGAGAGACTCATAGATAGAGACCCATAGAGATACAGAGACTCATAGAGTCTCATAGAGACCCATAGAGATACAGAGACTCATAGAGTCTCATAGAGACAGATAGAGATACAGAGACTCATGGAGTCTCATAGAGACCCATAGAGATACAGAGACTCATAGAGTCTTATAGAGACCCATAGAGATACAGAGACTCATAGAGTCTCATAGAGACCCATAGAGATACAGAGACTCATAGAGTCTCATAGAGACACATAGAGATACAGAGACTCATGGAGTCTCATAGAGACCCATAGAGATACAGAGACTCACAGAGTCTCATAGAGACCCATAGAGATACAGAGACTCATAGAGTCTCATAGACACCCATAGACATACAGAGACTCATAGAGTCTCATAGAGACCCATAGAGATACAGAGACTCATAGAGCCTCATAGAGACCCATAGACATACAGAGTCTCATAGAGACCCATAGACATACAGAGACTCATAGAATCTCATAGACACCCATAGAGATACAGAGACTCATAGAGTATCATAGACACCCATAGACATACAGAGACTCATAGAGTCTCATAGAGACCCATAGAGATACAGAGACTCATAGAGTCTCATAGAGACCCATAGAGATACAGAGACTCATAGAGTCTCATAGAGACCCATAGAGACACAGAGACTCAGAGTCTCATAGAGACCCATAGACATACAGAGATTCATAGAATATCATAGACACCCATAGACATACAGAGACTCATGGAGTCTCATAGAGACCCATAGAGACACAGAGACTCATAGAGTCTCATAGACACCCATAGACATACAGAGACTCATAGAGTCTCATAGAGACCCATAGACATACAGAGTTTCATAGAGATCCATAGAGACCCATAGAGATACAGAGACTCATAGAGATGCATAGAGACCCATAGACATACAGAGACTCATAGAGTCTCATAGAGACCCATAGAGACACAGAGACTCATAGAGTCTCATAGACACCCATAGACATACAGAGACTCATAGAGTCTCATAGAGACCCATAGACATACAGAGACTCATAGAATCTCATAGACACCCATAGAGATACAGAGACTCATAGAGTCTCATAGAGACCCACAGTTAATTGTAGTCCCCGCTTCCGCTTCCGGCCCCCTCCATCCCTCTATCCCCTCCTCCATTTCCGCTTCCGGCCCCTCCCCTCTCCTCCCTACCCCTCACCCCGCCTCCCCGTGCGCGCGCGCGCTTTTGTTGCGCGGGAAAGCGGCGGCTCCGAGAGCAACACCACCACCACCCTCAATCCTCCTTCTCCTCAACCGAGATAATTTTGTTCGTTCGTTTCTTTGTTTGTTTGTTGTTGTCGTCGCCGTTGTTCCCTCCGTCTCCCGCGTCGTCAACAACGGCCGCGAGCAACGAACCTTCTCACAAGCCTCCGCCGAATAGCCAACATGAGCTACCAGCGGCCCCCAGCCGACGTGGAGGACATGTACACGCTCAAGGTATGGGACGAGACGAGAGAGACACGATAGACGGGACAGAGAGAGAGACACGGTAGACGGACAGAGAGACAAGAGACGGACAGAGAGAGAGACAGACAGAGAGACCTGGACAGAGAGAGAGAGACTGACAGAGAGAGATACACAGAGAGAGAGACACGACCGCGCGGCCTGGGTTACTTTCCGCGAAGCCCCCCGGCTTGCCTGAATCTCCCCCCCCCCCCCTCCATCACCGCCGCCGTTGGGGGTCCCCGCGCGTGCTCGGCCAGGCGCGGCTTCATCAACGCCCGCACGCGGCTCGCTTTAGCGTGTAAAATGAAACTTGGGTTCGCGTACGACGGAAAAAAAAAATTGGGTAACCGCGAACACGTATATATTTGTGTTATTTTAAACGAGCAAACACAAACATTTGGTGTTTTTATTTTTTTAAAAAAAATGTTTTTTTGATGCGTTCGCCTCACACGTGGGGGGTGGTGGTGGGGGGGAGGTTGGCTGCGCTAGGCCCCAGCGAAGCCTGCGCTAGGCCTCGGCGAAAAGCCTGCCCCGACTAGGCCTCGGCGAAAAGCCTGCCCCGACTAGGCCGCAGGCGCGTAAGTTCGCCCGTTAAGACGAAGACCACTTAACGGCCGACTCTCTCCTACGCCGGAGTTGCTAATTTACGCACGGAAACAAAAAATAAAGATGCGTCCACAAATTCCTTTCGACGGGGGAATATATATTTTTTTTGCGCGACGCGGCCATCCCGTCAAACCAAGCAAACCCGTCGTTACGATCGTCGTGTTTCGTCGTCGTTACAATTTGCTGTTCGTTGGCGATGATTTTTTTTCAACGACAAATTATAACGCTTGAGGCCCTCGCTTTTTTTTGTTGAGAAAAAAAAATAGATATCTATTTAACGCGGATAAGTTGTTGTTTGTGGTTGGTTGGTTGGTTGCGGTGAGGAGAGGTTTGCAAGGGGTTTGTGTTTTTTGTTCTAGATTTGAAGCTTTGGGGACTGCAAGGATCCATACTCTTTGGTTCTATTCGGTAAAGTCACGTAGGTGAAAAAAATATAAAACAACAAAAATCACGACGTTTCGGCCACAACACAAGTGGCCTTCTTCAGGTGAAGGAACAGAACTGTCGGGACGACAGTTCTGTTGAGTCTGTGGGTTTCTGTGGTTTAGTATGAGTCTATGGGTTTGTATGGTTTAGTATGAGTGGGTTTCTATGGTTTAGTATGAGTCTATGGGTTTCTATGGTTTAGTATGAGTCTATGGGTTTCTATGGTTTAGTATGAGTATGGGTTTCTGTGGTTTAGTATGAGTCTATGGGTTTCTATGGTTTAGTATGAGTCTATGGGTTTCTATGGTTTCGTATGAGTCTTTGAGTTTCTATGGTTTAGTATAAGTCTATGGGTTTCTATGGTTTAGTATGAGTCTATGGGTTTCTATGGTTTAGTACGAGTATGGGTTTCTATGGTTTAGTATGAGTCTATGGGTTTCTATGGTTCAGTATGAGTGGGTTTCTATGGTTTAGTATGAGTCTATGGGTTTCTATGGTTTAGTATGAGTATGGGTTTCTGTGGTTTAGTATGAGTCTATGGGTTTCTATGGTTTAGTATGAGTCTATGGGTTTCTATGGTTTCGTATGAGTCTTTGAGTTTCTATGGTTTAGTATAAGTCTATGGGTTTCTATGGTTTAGTATGAGTCTATGGGTTTGTATGGTTTAGTACGAGTATGGGTTTCTATGGTTTAGTATGAGTCTATGGGTTTCTATGGTTCAGTATGAGTGGGTTTCTATGGTTTAGTATGAGTCTATGGGTTTCTATGGTTTAGTATGAGTATGGGTTTCTGTGGTTTAGTATGAGTCTATGGGTTTCTATGGTTTAGTATGAGTCTATGGGTTTCTATGGTTTCGTATGAGTCTTTGAGTTTCTATGGTTTAGTATAAGTCTATGGGTTTCTATGGTTTAGTATGAGTCTATGGGTTTCTATGGTTTAGTATGAGTCTATGGGTTTCTATGGTTTAGTATGAGTCTATGGGTTTCTATGGTTTATTATGAGTCTATGGGTTTCTATGGTTATTATGAGTCTATGGGTTTCTATGGTTTAGTCTGAGTATGGCTTTCTATGGTTTAGTATGAGTCTATGGGTTTCTATGGTTTAGTATGAGTCTATGGGTTTCTATGGTTTAGTATGAGTCTGTGGGTTTCTATGGTTTAGTATGAGTCTGTGGGTTCTATGGTTCAGTATGAGTCTATGGGTTTTCATGGTTTAGTATGAGTCTATGGGTTTCTGTGGTTTAGTATGAGTCTATGGGTTTCTGTGGTTCAGTATGAGTCTATGGGTTTCTATGGTTCAGTATGAGTCTATGGGTTTCTATGGTTCAGTATGAGTCAATGGGTTTCTATGGTTTAGTATGAGTCTATGGGTTTCTATGGTTTAGTATGAGTCTATGGGTTTCTATGGTTTAGTATGAGTCTATGAGTTTATATGAGTGTCTGTGGGTGTCTGTAGGTCTATGAGTCTCTGTGGGTACCTGTGGCTCTATGGGTCTCTGTAGTTCTATATGAGTCTATAGTTTTATATGGGTCTCTGTGGGTCTGGGTCTCTGTAATTCTATATGAGTATGGTCCTATATGGGTCTGGGTCTCTATAATTCTATATGAGTCTATAGTTCTATATGGGTCTGGGTCTCTATAATTATATATGGGTCTCTATAATTCTATATGGTTCTCTATAATTCTCTATGGGTCTCTATAATTCTATATGGGTCTCTATAATTCTACATGGGTCTCTATAATTCTATATGGGTCTCTATAATTCTACGTGGGTCTCTATAATTCTATATGGGTCTCTATAATTCTATATGGGTCTCTATAATTCTACGTGGGTCTCTATGCTGCTATAAATTCCCACGTGGTGGCGATGATATCAGTCACTCCCTGAGCTTGCTATCTTTGCTGCGATGGCTGGGCCTGCATCTGCAGAAGAGCTACAATAGAGCGAGGCCTTTACAGCTGATTCTATGGGTTTCTGTGAGTATCTGTGGGTCTCTGTGGGATCTGTGGTTCTGCGAGTCTCTATAAGTTCTCTATGGGTCTTTGTGTGTCTCTGGTTCTATATGGGTCTCTCTATAGTTCTCTATGGGTCTCTGTGGGTCTCTGTGGGTCTATGGGTGTCTCTAGTTCTCTATGGGTGTCTCTATAGTTCTCTATGGGTCTCTGTGGGTCTATGGGTGTCTAGTTCTATATGGGTCTCTCTATAGTTCTGTATGGGTCTCTGTGGGTCTTTGTGTGTCTCTTGTTCTCTATGGGTCTCTCTATAGTTCTCTATGGGTCTCTGTGGGTTTATAGTTCTCTATGGGTCTATGGGTGTCTAGTTCTATATGGGTCTCTCTATAGTTCTCTATGGGTATCTGTGGGTATCTGTGGGTCTTTGTGTGTCTCTTGTTCTCTATGGGTCTCTCTATAGTTCTCTGTGGGTCTCTGTGGCTCTATGGGTGTCTCTAGTTCTATATGGGTCTCTGTGGGTCTATGGGTGTCTCTAGTTCTGTATGGGTCTCTCTATAGTTCTGTATGGGTCTCTGTGGGTCTATGGGTGTCTCTAGTTCTCTATGGGTGTCTCTATAGTTCTCTATGGGTCTCTGTGGGTCTATGGGTGTCTAGTTCTATATGGGTCTCTCTATAGTTCTGTATGGGTCTCTGTGGGTCTTTGTGTGTCTCTTGTTCTCTATGGGTCTCTCTATAGTTCTCTATGGGTCTCTGTGGGTCTATAGTTCTCTATGGGTCTATGGGTGTCTAGTTCTATATGGGTCTCTCTATATTTCTCTATGGGTCTCTGTGGATCTTTGGGTTTCTCTAGTTCTGTATGGGTGTCTCTATAGTTCTCTATGGGTCTCTGTGGGTCTATGGGTTTCTAGTTCTATATGGGTCTCTCTATGTTTCTCTATGGGTCTCTGTGGGTCTTTGGGTTTCTCTAGTTCTGTATGGGTGTCTAAAGCGTGTCTCGTTATTACCCACAAGGCAGCGGGGGACGAGGACATAGACGTGAAGACGGGTGCGGGGAGGGAATGAAGCGTGTCTCGTTATTACCCACAAGGCAGCGGGGGACGAGGACATAGACGCAATGGTGGATGCAGGGAGAGAATGAAGCGTGTCTCGTTATTACCCACAAGGCAGCGGGGAACGAGGACATAGACGCAATGGTGGATGCAGGGAGAGAATGAAGCTTGTCTCGTTATTACCCACAAGGCAGCGGGGAACGAGGACATAGACGCAATGGTGGATGCAGGGAGAGAATGAAGCGTGTCTCGTTACTTGTCCGAAACGTCGCCCCCCCCAATCCGGGACGCGTTCGCCAAAGGGGAGACACCCTACTAGCAGCAGGAGGCTCCAGGCAACGTAGCTCTTGGATCAACGGGGAACGTGCAAACCCCAGCACCACGATAAGGTTACGGCCCTGCGGCAAGGTAGTTAACATCTGCCTAGCTTCCGCGAGGATGACGGTGAGAGATGGACGCAGACTCCAAATATATACAGCAACAGGCAGCAGGGTTGGGATCGAACCCACGACTTCCTGCAAACCAGGTGAGGTAGTTAACGTCTCCCTCGGCTCCGTGAATGGTGATGGTGATGATGATGAGAGAGGCCCTGACTCCAAACATACAGCATCAGGGTTGGGATCGAACTCATGACTTTTTGAAAACCAGGTGAGGTAGTTAACGTCTCCCTAAGCTCCGTGATGGTGATGATGACGATGAGAGAGACCCTGACTCCAGATATACAGCAACAGGTACCAGGGTTGGGATCGAACTCATGCCTTCCTGAAAACCAGGTGAGGTATTTAACATCTCCCTCGGCTCCGTGATGATGATGAGAGATAGACGCAGACTCCAAATATACAGCAACAGGCATCAGGGTTGGGATCGAACCCACAACCTCCTGTGTACAAGGCGAGGTAGTTAACATCTCCCTGGGCTCCGTGATGATGATGAGACCCTGACTCCAAATATACAGCAACAGGCATCAGGGTTGGGATCGAACCCACGGCCTCCTGTGTACAAGGCGAGGTAGTTAACATCTCCCTCGGCTCCGTGATGATGATGAGACTCTGACTCCAAATATACAGCAACAGGCATCGGGGTTGGGATCGGACCCATGACCTCCTGTGTGCAAGGCGAGGTAGTAAACATCTCCCTCGGCTCCGTGGTGATGAGAGATAGACGCAGACTCCAAATATACAGCAACAGGCATCGGGGTTGGGATCGAACCCATGACCTCCTGTGTGCAAGGCGAGGTAGTAAACATCTCCCTCGGCTCCGTGGTGATGAGAGATAGACGCAGACTCCAAATATACAGCAACAGGCATCAGGGTTGGGATTAACATCTCCCTCGGCTCCGTGATGATGATGATGAGAGAGAGACCCTGACTCCAAATATACAGCAACAGGCATCGGGGTTGGGATCGAACCCACGACCTCCTGTGTGCGAGGCGAGGTAGTTAACATCTCCCTCGGCTCCGTGATGATGATGATGAGAGATAGACGCAGACTCCAAATATACAGCAACAGGCATCGGGGTTGGGATCGAACCCACGACCTCCTGTGTACATGGCGAGGTAATTAACATTTACCTCGGCTCCGTGATGATGAGAGAGAGACCCTGACTCCAAATATACAGCAACAGGCATCAGTGTCGGGATCGAACCCACGACCTCCTGTGTGCAAGGCGAGGTAGTAAACATCTCCCTCATCTCCGTGATGATGATGAGAGATAGACGCAGACGCCAAATATACAGCAACAGGCATCAGGGTTGGGATCGAACCCACGACCTCCTGTGTGCAAGGCGAGGCAGTTAACATCTTCCTCGGCTCCGTGGTGATGATGATGATGAGAGAGACCCTGACTCCAAATATACAGCAACAGGCATCGGGGTTGGGATCGAACCCACGACCTCCTGTGTACAGGGCGAGGTAGTAAACATCTCCCTCGGCTCCGTGATGATGATGATGATGAGAGATAGACGCAGACTCCAAATATACAGCAACAGGCATCAGTGTCGGGATCGAACCCACGACCTCCTGTGTGCAAGGCGAGGTAGTAAACATCTCCCTCGGCTCCGTGGTGATGAGAGATAGACGCAGACTCCAAATATACAGCAACAGGAATCAGGGTTGGGATTAACATCTCCCTCGGCTCCGTGATGATGATGATGAGAGATAGACCCTGACTCCAAATACACAGCAACAGGCATCAGGGTTGGGATCGAACCCACAACCTCCTGTGTGCAATGCGAGGTAGTCAACATCTCCCTCGGCTCCGTGATGATGATGATGAGAGATAGACCCTGACTCCAAATATACAGCAACAGGCATCAGTGTCGGGATCGAACTCACGACCTCCTGTGTGCAAGGCGAGGTAGTAAACATCTCCCTCGGCTCCGTGGTGATGAGAGATAGACGCAGACGCCAAATATACAGCAACAGGCATCAGGGTTGGGATCGAACCCACGACCTCCTGTGTGCAAGGCGAGGTAGTTAACATCTTCCTCGGCTCCGTGGTGATGATGATGAGAGACCCCGACTCCAAATATACAGCATCAGGCATGAGATCGAACCCACGACTTCCTGTGTACAAGGCGAGGTAGTTAACATCTCCCTCGGCTCCGTGGTGATGAGAGATAGACGCAGACTCCAAATATACAGCAACAGGAATCAGGGTTGGGATTAACATCTCCCTCGGCTCCGTGATGATGATGAGAGATAGACCCTGACTCCAAATACACAGCAACAGGCATCAGGGTTGGGATCGAACCCACAACCTCCTGTGTGCACTCATTCACTCACCCGCTCAATAATGTATTCACTCATTCACTCACTCACCCACCCACTCGCTCATCACGCTCAATAATTCATCCACTCACCCACTCATTCACTTGCCCACTCACTCATCACTCTCAGTAATGTATTCACTCACCCACCCACTCGCTCATCACGCTCAATAATGTGTCAGCTCATTTATCCACTCTTTGGCTCACCCCACCCACTCGCCGCACTCAATGAAGTATTCACTCACTCACCAACTCATTCACCCACTCACTCATTCACTCACCCGCTCAATAATGTCCACTCATTCACTCACCCACCCACTCGATCATCACACTCAATAATTCATCCACTCACCCACTCATTCACTTGCCCACTAACTCATCACGCTCAATAATGCATCCACTCATTCACTTACCCACTCACTCATCACACTCCATAATATATCCACTCATTCACTCGCCCACTCATCCATTGAATCATTTATCCACTCATTCATCCACTCAACCACCCATTCGCTCATCACAATCGATAAATGTATCCACTCATTCATCCACACGCGCACACACCCACTGCTTCCTCTTCAAAAGTCTCAACTAGACATCTGTGAAAAGAGCGATGCATAGCTCATCTGATTCCCCCAGCATGAATACGATATTCTGATTTCGATTTAAAGCTTTCGTGACTGCAAGGATTCATCTTCTTTGGTTCTTTCGGTAAAGTCACCACCACCACGTAGAATGAGAATAATAAAATAATAAATTGATAAAATAAAATAACACAATAAAATTCTCACGACGTTTCGGCCACAACACAAGCGGCCTTCATCGGGTGAAGGAACAGAACCGTCGGGACGACAGTTCTCAGTTCTCCAGACAGTCTCGTCCCAGTCTGGAGGACAGTCTCGTCCATTCACCTGATGAAGGCCGCTTGTGTTGTGGCCGAAACGTCGTGAGAATTTTATTGTGTTATTTTATTTTATCAATTTATTATTTTCTCATTCTACGTGGTGGTGACTTTACCAAAAGAACCAAAGAAGGAATATTCTGATTCTCACCTGGTTACGTGACATCAGCTTGAGCTCGTTCAATCAATTAATTTACCAACTCGCCTCTCATTTGCTCTCTCTCACCACATCTCCCCATCTCTCCTTCCCCCTCTCCTCCCTCCCCCTCTCTCCTTCACTCTCTCCTTCACTCTCTCCCTCCCACTCTCTCCTTCCCTCTCTCCTTCACTCTCTCCTTCACTCTCCCCCTCTCTTCTTCACTCTCTCCTTCCCTCCCCCTCCTTCACTCTCTCCTTCACTCTCTCCTTCACTCTCTCCTCCCTCCCCCTCTCTCCTTCCCTCTCCTCCCCCTCTCTCCTTCCCTCTCTCCTTCCCTCTCTCCTTCACTCTCTCCTTCACTCCCTCCTTCCCTCCCCCTCTTTCACTCTCTCCTTCACTCTTTCCTTCACTCTCTCCTTCCCTCTCTCCTTCCCTCTCCTCCCCCTCTCTCCTTCCCTCTCTCCTTCACTCTCTCCTTCCCTCTCTCCTTCCCTCTCTCCTTCACTCTCTCCTTCCCTCTCTCCTTCACTCTCTCCTTCACTCTCTCCCCCCTCCCCCTCCTTCACTCTCTCCTTCCCTCTCCTCCCTCCCCCTCTCTCCTTCACTCTCTCCCCCCTCTTTCACTCTCTCCTTCCCTCTCCTCCCCCTCTCTCATTCCCTCTCTCCTTCACACTCTCCTTCCCTCTCTCCTTCACTCTCTACTTCCCTCTCCTCCCTCCCCCTCCTTCACTCTCTCCTTCACTCTCTCCTTCACTCTCTCCTCCCTCCCCCTCTCTCCTTCACTCTCTCCCTCTCTCCCCCCTCCCCTCTCTCCTCCCTCCCCCTCTCTCCTTCCCTCTCTCCTTCACTCTCTCCCCCCTCTTTCACTCTCTCCTTCACTCTCTCCTTTCCTCTCTCCCCTCTCCCTCTCTCCCCTCTCCCTCCCACACCCCCCCCCCCTCCCACCACCACCACCCACCCCACACCACCCACACCACCACCTTCCGCCCCCCCCCCCCCTGCCAGGTGGACAACTTGACGTACCGCACCTCCCCCGAGACGCTCCGCCGCGCCTTTGAGAAGCACGGCGACGTGGGCGACGTGTACATCCCGCGCGACCGCTACACGCGCGAGTCTCGCGGCTTCGCCTTCGTCCGCTTCTACGAGCGGCGGGACGCCGAGGACGCCATGGAGCTCATGGACGGGCGCCTCCTGGACGGGCGCGAGATGCGGGTCCAGATGGCGCGCTACGCCCGGCCCCCGGACTCGATGCGCCGCGGCGGCGGCGGCGGCGGTGACCGCGGCGGTGACCGGGGAGGCGGCGACCGCGACCGGGGAGGCGGCGACCGCGACAGGGGAGGCGACCGGGGAGGCGGCGACCGCGACCGGGGAGGCGACCGGGGAGGCGGCGACCGGGGGCAGCCGTACTCGGCCTCGGCCTCCTACAACTCGTCGTCCGGCTCGCGCAGGGACTACGGGTGGGTGGTGGTGGTTGGTGGTGACGGTGGTGGTGGTGGTTGTGGTGGGTGCAGTGGTGGTGGTGGTTGTGGTGGCGGTGGTGGTGGCGGTGGTGGTGGTGGTGGTGGCGGTGGGTAGTGGTGGTGGTGGTGGGTGGTAGCGGTGGTGGTGGTGGCGGCGGCGGTGGTGGCGGTGGTGGTGGGTGCGGTGGCGGTGAGTGCGGTGATGGGTGCGGTGAGTGCGGTGATGGGTGCGGTGATGGGTGCGGTGCAGGTGGGTGCGGTGGTTGCGGTGGTGGTGGTGATGGTGCAGGCTGTGTGTGTGTAGTGCAGGCTGTGTGTGTGTAGTGCAGGCTGTGTGTGTGGTGCAGGCTGTGTGTGTGTAGTGCAGGCTGTGTGGTGCAGGCTGTGTGTGTGTGTGGTGCAGGCTGTGTGTGTGTGGTGCAGGCTGTGTGTGTGGTGCAGGCTGTGTGTGTGTGTGTGTGGTGCAGGCTGTGTGTGTGTAGTGCAGGCTGTGTGTGTGTGTGGTGCAGGCTGTGTGTGTGTGTGTGTGGTGCAGGCTGTGTGTGTGGTGCAGGCTGTGTGTGTGTAGTGCAGGCTGTGTGTGTGTAGTGCAGGCTGTGTGTGTGTGTGTAGTGCAGGCTGTGTGTGTGTGTGGTGCAGGCTGTGTGTGGTGCAGGCTGTGTGTGTGTGTGTGTGGTGCAGGCTGTGTGTGTGTGTGTGGTGCAGGCTGTGTGTGTGTGTGTGGTGCAGGCTGTGTGTGTGTGTGTGGTGCAGGCTGTGTGTGTGTGGTGCAGGCTGTGTGTGTGTGGTGCAGGCTGTGTGTGCAGGCTGTGTGTGTGTGTGTGGTGCAGGCTGTGTGTGTGTGTGGTGCAGGCTGTGTGTGTGTGGTGCAGGCTGTGTGTGTGTGTGGTGCAGGCTGTGTGTGTGTGTGTGGTGCAGGCTGTGTGGTGCAGGCTGTGTGTGTGTGTGTGTGCAGGCTGTGTGTGTGTGGTGCAGGCTGTGTGTGTGTGTGGTGCAGGCTGTGTGTGTGTGTGGTGCAGGCTGTGTGTGTGTGTAGTGCAGGCTGTGTGTGTGTGTAGTGCAGGCTGTGTAGTGCAGGCTGTGTGTGTGTGTGGTGCAGGCTGTGTGTGTGTGGTGCAGGCTGTGTGTGCAGGCTGTGTGTGTGTGGTGCAGGCTGTGTGTGTGTGTGCAGGCTGTGTGTGTGTGTGTGGTGCAGGCTGTGTGTGTGGTGCAGGCTGTGTGTGTGTGTGTGGTGCAGGCTGTGTGTGTGTGTGTGGTGCAGGCTGTGTGTGTGGTGCAGGCTGTGTGTGTGTGGTGCAGGCTGTGTGTGTGGTGCAGGCTGTGTGTGTGTGGTGCAGGCTGTGTGTGTGTGGTGCAGGCTGTGTGTGTGTGTGTGGTGCAGGCTGTGTGTGTGGTGCAGGCTGTGTGTGTGGTGCAGGCTGTGTGTGTGTGGTGCAGGCTGTGTGTGTGGTGCAGGCTGTGTGTGTGTGTGTGTGGTGCAGGCTGTGTGTGTGTGTGGTGCAGGCTGTGTGTGTGGTGCAGGCTGTGTGTGTGTGTGGTGCAGGCTGTGTGTGTGTGGTGCAGGCTGTGTGTGTGTGTGGTGCAGGCTGTGTGTGTGGTGCAGGCTGTGTGTGTGGTGCAGGCTGTGTGTGTGTGGTGCAGGCTGTGTGTGTGGTGCAGGCTGTGTGTGTGTGGTGCAGGCTGTGTGTGTGGTGCAGGCTGTGTGTGTGTGGTGCAGGCTGTGTGTGTGTGGTGCAGGCTGTGTGTGTGTGTGTGGTGCAGGCTGTGTGTGTGTGGTGCAGGCTGTGTGTGTGTGGTGCAGGCTGTGTGTGTGGTGCAGGCTGTGTGTGTGTGGTGCAGGCTGTGTGTGTGTGTGGTGCAGGCTGTGTGTGTGGTGCAGGCTGTGTGTGTGTGTGGTGCAGGCTGTGTGTGTGTGGTGCAGGCTGTGTGTGTGTGGTGCAGGCTGTGTGTGTGTGTAGTGCAGGCTGTGTGTGTGTGGTGCAGGCTGTGTGTGTGTGTGGTGCAGGCTGTGTGTGCAGGCTGTGTGTGTGTGGTGCAGGCTGTGTGTGCAGGCTGTGTGTGTGGTGCAGGCTGTGTGTGTGTGTGGTGCAGGCAAAAACAACCCCCTACATCCTCGTGGTGCCAGACGGCAACGCTGTGGTGAGCAGTGCCGTGGGCGGAGGGCCAACTCAGATTGGCCTTTCCCCTCATGGCGTCTGTAACAACCACAGCCTGCAAATGGGGGCTCTGGATGGGTGCAAGGGGCTTGTAACCCCTCCAGCTTGAATTATTTACCACAAAACGACGTCTGAAATATCTAATTAATAAGCTGGTGCCGGAGCGAGGCCCCGGGGGGACAGGCGTCTATGACGTCTCCTGGCCAAACACATCATACACTGACTCACTCGTCATGCGCTGACTCGCTCACACATCATACACTGACTCACTCACACATCATACACTGACTCACTCACACATCATACACTGACTCACTCGTCATGCGCTGACTCACTCACACATCATACACTCACTCACACATCATACACTGACTCACTCGTCATGCGCTGACTCGCTCACACATCATACACTGACTCACTCACACATCATACACTGACTCACTCACACATCATACACTGACTCACTCGTCATGCGCTTACTCACTCACACATCATACACTCACTCACACATCATACACTGACTCACTCGTCATGCGCTGACTCACTCACACATCATACGCTGACTCACTCATCATGCGCTTACTCACACACACATCATACACTGACTCACACATGCACTGACTCGCACATCATACACTGACTCGCACATCATACACTCACGCTGCTGCTGACTCACTCACACATCATACACTGACTCACTCACACATCATACACTGACTCACTCACATCATACACTGACTCGCACATCATACACTGACTCGCACATCATACACTCACGCTGCTGCTGACTCGCTCACACATCATGCACTGACTCGCACATCATGCGCTTACTCACTCACATCATACACTGACTCGCACATCATACACTGACTCACTCATCATACACTCACGCTGCTGCTGACTCACTCACACATCATACACTGACTCACTCACACATCATACACTGACTCACTCACACATCATACACTGACTCGCACATCATACACTGACTCGCACATCATACACTCAAGCTGCTGCTGACTCACACATCATACACTGACTCACTCACACATCATACACTGACTCACTCACACATCATACACTGACTCGCACATCATACACTGACTCGCACATCATACACTCACGCTGCTGCTGACTCACTCACACATCATGCACTGACTCGCACATCATGCGCTTACTCACTCACATCATACACTGACTCGCACATCATACACTGACTCACTCATCATGCACTTACTCACACATCATACACTGACTCGCACATCATGCGCTTACTCACTCACATCATACACTGACTCGCACATCATACACTCACGCTGCTGCTGACTCGCTCACACATCATGCACTGACTCACTCACACATCATACACTGACTCACTCACACATCATACACTGACTCGCACATCATACACTGACTCGCACATCATACACTCACGCTGCTGCTGACTCACTCACACATCATGCACTGACTCGCACATCATACACTCACGCTGCTGCTGACTCACTCACACATCATACACTGACTCACTCACACATCATGCACTGACTCACTCATCATGCACTTACTCACTCACACATCATACACTGACTCGCACATCATACACTGACTCGCACATCATACACTCACGCTGCTGCTGACTCGCTCACACATCATACACTGGGAGTGTTGTGCTGCCAGCTATGGCTGCAGGTTTTGTCGTACGTGTCATGTATATCGTTTATTGTTAAATTTAAAATCACAGTTCCTATGATTACTGTTGTTACATTGGTTTTTTTTTAGCTTTATTTTGGTGATTCGAAAACATATGGTTCATTTAAATTGTCTTATGGTGGTTGTTGTTGGCTTGCACCACGTTGATTTTTGCACGCAGCGTTTTAATATTTATTTTTTTTTGTGTGTGGAATATTTTGCTGGGTTATTCCACGATGTTTCTGTTACGTGACGTCGCTTTAAAATGTTCCGGGGTTCAAATTTTGTTTGTTGCGGTTGCACCCGACTTAAGAGCCGCATGGCTCACAGGGCCGTACCCAATCAATGAAACTGGTCGAGCACCAATTGGGTCGAGGCTCAAAAGAAAGCGGTCCCTTGGTGCGGACCAATCCGTTTCAAGGACAATGCATCATATATTATCATAGTATATTTTTTGTGTTTGCATTTTGACTGCAGGTATTGTGGTTAATGCAGATATGAATCCTTGTAAAAAGGTTTCATTTTTTTGCCATTTTGGCAAGCTGGACCGGTACCGGCTCTGGCTCCTGCCACCATGACGGGTGGACAGTCCTCTACTCGGGGCAGGAGACTGCCAAACAACAGGGTGTGGCTCTTCTTCTGAACAAAAGAATGAAGGGGGCGTGGGAGCGTGGCGGTGAGGTGTGGGAAGCTGTAAGCCCCAGGCTACTTTGGGCTCGCCTTCCCATCAACCGGAGGCGAGGAGTGGTGGTCATGGTTACTTATGCCCCCACCGAAGACGAACATCCGTGGAGGGATGCAGGCAAAGCCGATGAGTCAGATGCCTTCTATGACCTCCTGTCACAGGTGCTGGCTAAAGTGGCCCCCCGGGATAGTCATCTTTTTGGGTGACTTCAATGCCCGAGTTGGACATGATGCTGGCACCTGGTCTGGAGTGATTGGAAGGCATGGGCCAGATCATCTCAATAACAACGGTAGGAGGCTGCTAGATTTTTGTGCAACCCATGGGCTTGTAATTACCAACATGCTGCTCCGGCATCGGCGCATCCACACAACATCATGGATGCATGCCGGGTCCACGCAAAAACAACGGATGCAGGCCCATGTCCTTGACACCAGGACCTACTGTGGAGCTGATCTGCCCTCTGACCATCGACTAGTCATCTGTAAGATGCGCCTGCCATTCTTCCACTCCGGTGGTGGGTGTACACCCAGGACCCCATTCAAACCCATAGTGGCCTGGTCTCAGCTAGCTGATGAAAGTTGCAATCGAGAATTTCATCATCGCTTGCGGCTGGGGTTGGCATTGTCCCCCACTCCTCCAGATGTCGAGGGGAAATGGACGAGATTTAGGACTGTGGCTCATGCAGCTACAATGGCTGCTATGGGTACACGGTCCAGACCTCCCCTGGCTGAAAGAGGAGGTGTTCAGGCTGACTGAGAAAAAGCGACAGGCCCACTGTCATCGGCTACAGAATCCCACGTCAGAGAATGAGGAGGCTTACCGCAGCCTTTGCTCGGAGGTTCGGAGAGCCGTGAGGCGATGCAAGGATGGGTGGTGGTTACAGGTTGCTGAGGAGATGGAGTCTGCCTCAATGGCCCGCAATCACAAATCGCTCTAACTCCATCAAAAAAGTAACTTGCAGCGCCACACCTATTACCATCATTAGGGGAAAGAACGGTGATCCAATCTCCGACTCCCAGGAAGAGGTTTGCAGATTTCCTGGGGGAGGGGAAATTCCTCATCTGGGAAAACATCATGGGACAAAGTGGGGATGACCCTGCTGAGGCTGCGGTGCCTCATATTGGAAGAAGCCACCCCCTGCGAGTGGCTGGCTGAGGTGCCATCTGTTGAGGAAGTACTGAAGGCGATCAAGAGTCTGACACCAGGAAAGGCAGCGGGCAGAGATCTCCCATGTGAAATACTGAGGGAGGGTGGCGTTTGTGCACAGACTGCCCTACATCACATCATAACAACAGTCTGGACCACTAGACGGGTTCCGCAGGATTGGAAGGATGCCCTGGTGGCCCCCCTCTTTAAGAAGGGGGGCCGCACAGACTGTAACAACTACAGGGGCATCTCACTCCTCAGTGTGCCGGGAAAGGTCCTGGCAAGGATGATTCAACATCGCCTTGCTAGGCACGCACGCTGAGGAGAGGCTTGCGGAGCCCCAATGCGGTTTCAGGAAAGGGCGGTCCTGCACAGATGCCATATTTTCTGTGCGTCTGCTACAGCAGAGGTAGGGAATTCCAACAAGACCTACATATCTGCTTTATTGACCTGGTCAAGGCCTATGATACCATCAGTAGGCCTGGGCTCTGGGTTGCTCTTCGTGCTTTCGGAGTCCCTGACTCATTGAGGACCTTCATGATGGTGAGCGGGCCCGGGTAAAACTACGTGGCCGGGAGTCAGAGCCATTCCCTGTACACCTTGGGGTGCGACAGGGATGTCCTCTGGCTCCCACATTATTTAACATCTATTTCGACCACGTAGTTCGTGAAGCCTTCAATAGCTGTACCGGAGGAATTTTTATTTGGTACAGAAAAATGGGAGGCTGTATATTATTGGTTCTTTCGGTAAAGTCACGTAGAAGTGAAACAATAAAATAATAAAAATATATTGTTTTAGATTCTTATTTTATTGTTTCCCTTCTACGTGACTTTACCGAAAGAACCAAGAATATGAATCCCTGCAGTCACGAAACCTTTAAATCAAAATTTAAATGGGAGGCTGCCGGGTGCGGTCAAGGGATGACTCCATATTGGTCAACCACGTTACGTATGCCGATGATCTGGTAATTGCTGCTCACTCAGAGGAGGAGTTGGAGGCGCTGCTGCTGAACGTGGAGCGTGCCACTAAGAGGTGGGGCCTTACCATCAGCCCCACCAAAACTGAGCACCTGCCTGGGTATTTTGTACCATCGGACACTCCAACCCCACAACTCACAATTGGTTATGGGGCAGTTGTGGAGAGAGTGGAGAGTTTACCATACCTGTGCAGTGTGCTCATGACCGGTTCCTGTTTGACAACAGAGGTCTCACTCCGAATCAGTCGAGCGGCAATATCTTTTAATCGGTTGGATAATGCTGCGTGGAAGCTACCTGGTCTGTCGCTCCGCACGAAGCTTCAGGTCTTCTCGACCACAGTCGTTCCATCCCTTCTCGTTAATGCGAAACGTGGACCCCCCTAGTGGAACATCTTCGCCGGTTAGAAACATTTAGACTGGCCTGCCCAATGATCCATCCTGGGTTTAACCCGCAGACTGGATTGTGTGAGGAGCCCACAAATCCTTGAAATATCCCATCGGTGAGCTCCTCCGGGCAGGCAAGACTGCGTTGGCTGGGTCATGTAGCCCGCATGCCCAGCCACCGCATGCCTAAACATCTTTTGTTCGGTTGTATAGATGGGGCTGAACGGGCGCGGCACGGGCTAGAGAAGAGATGGAGTGATGTGGTACAGGAGGACGTGGAGCTGAGTGGACTTGCTGATGACCGGTACCAGCGGTGTCAAGATTGGCCTCTGTGTGGCGGAGGCTCGTGAAGGATGCTACTGGGCAGTCGGAGGCAGTCGCCCTCCAACAACAACGGAGGGCGGAGGAGCGACGCTCGCAACAACGAGCGGAGCGCCGGGTGGCTAAAGCACAGCAGGTTGGCGCAGTAGGGGGCACAGGTGGTGCATCAGCCAGTCATCTCGGTCAGTCGACCCGTGGTACCTGCTGGGTCTGCCCCGTGACCTCCTGCCAGCGGGCGTTCGACACTTCACGTGGCCTCAAGGTGCACATGGCCTGGCACAAGCGTCGTGGTGACGTCACCGCCACTTAGTGGCGAATGGCGGTTGTTGTGGGTGCAGGCTGTGTGTATGTGGTGCAGGCTGTGTGTGTGTGTTGTTGCAGGCTGTGTGTGTGTGGTTGCAGGCTGTGTGTGTGAGCGAGCGGGAGAGAGAAATTTGCTTGTCAGTGTAAGCTGTGTTCGTGACTGTAACTCAGAGAGCCAACGTAGGCAGGTTGGATAGGAACATCTCAGCCAGTTACGACCTAAACTGGTTGATAACGTCCTTCCAATGATTGCTCAGTGTATATAGTGTGTGTTGTAGTTTAGTGTATGGTGTGTTTTGCAGTGTATACTGTTGTGAAGTGTATAGTGTATTATGTAGTGTATAGTGTGTTGTGTAGTTTATAGTGTATTATGTAGTGTATAGTGTGTTGTGTATAGTGTGTTGTGTATAGTGTGTTATGTAGTGTATAGTGTGTTATCTAGTGTATAGTGCAGTGTGTTATGTGGTGTATAGTATGTTATGAGGTGTATAGTGTATTACGTAGTATATAGTGTTGTGTAGAGTATAGTGTAGTGTATAGTAGTGTAGTGTGTTATGTGGTGTATAGTATAGTAGTGTATAGTGTTATGAAGTGTAGTTTAGAGTATAGTGTGTATCGAACTTTTGCACCGTGCGTAGCTAACGGTGTAAATCAGGATGTGTGGGGTTTACCTTAACTCTTAACTCTCTCCCCCCACTCTCCCCTCACTCTCTCCCCACTCTCTCCCCCCTCACTCTCCCCACTCTCTCCCCCCCTCACTCTCTCCCCACTCTCACCCCACTCTCTCCCCACTCTCTTCCCCCTCTCCCACTCTCTCCCCACTCTCTCCCCCCCTCACTCTCTCCCCACTCTCTCCCTCCCCCACTCTCTCCCCACTCTCTCCCTCCCCCACTCTCTCCCCACTCTCTCCCCCCCTCACTCTCTCTCCACTCTCTCTACTCTCTCCCCCCCTCACTCTTTCCCCACTCTCTCCGCCCCTCACTCTCTCCCCACTCTCTCTACTCTCTCCCCACTCTCTCCCCCCCTCACTCTCTCCCCACTCTCCTCTACTCTCTCCCCACTCTCTCTACTCTCTCCCCACTCTCTCTACTCTCTCCCCACTCTCTCCCCACTCTCTCCCCCCCCTCACTCTCTCCCCACTCTCTCTACTCTCTCCCCACTCTCTCTACTCTCTCCCCACTCTCTCTACTCTCTCCCCACTCTCTCTACTCTCTCCCCACTCTCTCCCCACTCTCTCCCCCCCTCACTCTCTCCCCACTCTCTCTACTCTCTCCCCACTCTCTCTACTCTCTCCCCACTCTCTCTACTCTCTCCCCACTCTCTCTACTCTCTCCCCACTCTCTACTCTCTCCCCACTCTCTCTACTCTCTCCCCCCTCTCTCTACTCTCTCCCCACTCTCTCCCCACTCTCTCCCCCCCTCACTCTCTCCCCACTCTCTCTACTCTCTCCCCACTCTCTCTACTCTCTCCCCACTCTCTCCCCCCCTCACTCTCTCCCCACTCTCTCTACTCTCTCCCCACTCTCTCCCCTCACTCTCTCCCCACTCTCTTCTCCCCCCCCACGGCTTTCCCACCCCCCACGCCAACCGCAGGCGCCGCCGTCGCCACAGCAGCTCGCGAAGCAGCTCCCGCTCCCGCTCCCGCTCCCGCTCCCGCTCCCGTTCCCGCTCGCGCTCCCGCTCCCACGACTCACGCAGCCGCCGCAGGAATGACGACGGAGGAGGCGGCGGAGGCGGCGGAGGCGGCGGAGGCGGTGGAGGCGGCGGCGACCACCGCGACAACAAGGAGAGGGACCGCGACGGAGACAACAAGGAGCGTGGCGGCGGTGACAACAAGGAGCGTGACAACAAGGAGCGTGACAACAAGGAGCGTGGTGACAACAAGGAGCGTGGCGGCGGTGACAACAAGGAGCGCGAGAGGCCCCGCGACGGGGCGGATCGCTCACGCTCCAAGGACGGCGGTGACGGTGAGAGGGACCACCGGGAGCACCGCCCCTCATCCCCCGGGGCTCCCCGCTCCTCATCCCGCTCACCGGCACCGCCCTCCCACCACCACCACCACCGGCGTCGCTCTTCGTCCTCCTCGCCGCCGGCAGTGGCGGTGTCGGCGTCGGCGTCGGCGGCATCGGCGGCGGCCCCCCCCCGCGGGGCCCACGGCCGGTCCCCGCCGGGGGCCGGGGGGTCGAGGTCGAGGTCGCGGGAGCGCAGGGGCGGGGCGGCGGGGGACGGGAGGTCTCCCCCGGGGTCGCCCGCGGGGCGGCGCTCCGAGCGTTGATTTGACGGCGGCTCGACGGGCGCCCCACCCGACGAGCCCCCCCCCCCACCACCGACTCCACCGACTCCTCCACCGACTCCTCCACCGACTCCTCCTCCGACCCCTACCTCCGACCCTACCCCCACTCGACTGAAATGCCCGCCACCTAACTACTGTCGCCCCGCCCCCTTCCACAATGGCCCCGCCCCCTTCCACAACGGCCCCGCCCCCCCCCCTAACGAGTCGACTCTCCTCCGTCGTGAAGTCAGCATTGGGGGTTTGCGCAAATCAAGACGGCCGCTTTGTCCGCGTCTGGGTGACTAGCCGGGCAGGTGACTGGCCAGGCAGGTGACTGGTCGGTCGCGTGACTAGCCGGGTGGGTGACTGGCCGAGCGGGTGACTAGCCGGGCGGGTGACTAGCCGGGCGGGTGACTGGCCAGGCGAGTGACTAGCCGGGCGGGTGACTAGCCGGGCGGGTGACTAGCCGGGCGGGTGACTGGCCGGGCGGGTGACTGGCCAGGCAGGTGACTAGCCGGGCGGGTGACTAGCTGGGCGGGTGACTAGCCGGGCGGGTGACTAGCCGGGCGGGTGACTAGCCGGGTGGGTGACTAGCCGGGCGGGTGACTGGCCAGGCGGGTGACTAGCCGGGTGGGTGACTAGCCGGGCGGGTGACTGGCCGGGCGAGTGACTAGCCGGGCGGGTGACTAGCCAGGTGGGTGACTAGCCGGGCGGGTGACTAGCCAGGCGGGTGACTAGCCAGGCGGGTGACTAGCCGGGCGGGTGGCCAGTTTGGCGACTAGCCGGGCGACATTACAATAGGAGTTGGGACGGCGTTGCAGTCAGGTTTGGCTAAAGGCACGGCGATGTCGCCGTGCCTTTAGCCAAACGGACACACAGCGACGTCACGGTGATGTCACGGCGACGTCACCGTGATGTAGCCATGACGTCACCGTGACGTAGCCATGATGTAACAGCGACGTTGACGTCACCGTGACGTAGCCATGACGTCACAGCGACGTCACCGTGACATAGCCATGACGTCACAGCATCGTCACCATTGACGCAACGGCGACGTCACCGTTGAAGTCACGGCGACATCGCCGCGACGTTGCTGTGACGTCACGGCTCAGATGTGGACAAAGCAGCAGGAGCCCCCCCCCCCAGTCCTGACCCCCTCCCCCTCTCTTTAATTAATTAAATCGGCCGTGATCCTTTGACCTTGGCGTTTGACCTTGCGGTTATTTTGAGGAGGAAGCTGAGGGGGTTGTCGGTGGGGGTGATGGGGGGGTTGGTTAGGGCGAGAGGGTGAACCGTCGTTAGGTCTGTGGGTGGGGTGGGTGGAGTGGGTGGAGTGGGTGGGGTGGGCGGGGTGGGTGGGGTGGGCGGGGTGGAGTGGGTGGGGTGGGCGGGGTGGGTGGAGTGGGTGGGGTGGGCGGGGCGGGTGGGTGGCGATATTGGAGTTAAATCGCCTTCCCCTGTCCCCTGATTGGGCTCGTTTAATGATCACGTGACCATTTATTCAAGACATACTCCCCACACACACTCTCACACACACATTGTACACAGACTCACGCACGCACACACAGACTCACACACACAGACTCACACGCACACAGACTCACACACACAGACTCACACACACACAGACTCACGCACACACAGACTCACGCACACACAGACTCACGCACACAGACTCACGCACACAGACTCACACACAGACTCACACACACAGACTCACACACACAGACTCACACACACACAGACTCACGCACACACAGACTCACGCACACACAGACTCACACACAGACTCACGCACACAGACTCACGCACACAGACTCACACACAGACTCACACACACAGACTCACACACACAGACTCACACACACAGACTCACACACACCGTACACACACACACACACCGTACACACACATCGTACACAGACTCACACACACACTCCTCACACAGACTCACACACACACTCCTCACACACACACACATCGTACACAGACACACACACACACACACTCCTCACACAGACTCACACACACTCCTCACACACACACACACTCCTCACACAGACTCACACACACACCTCACAGACTCGCACACACACTCCTCACACACACACACCGTACACAGACTCACACACACATACTCCCCACACAGTTTCACACACACACACATTGTACACAGACTCACACACATTGTACACAGACTCACACACACACAGCGTACACAGACTCACACACACATTGTACACAGACTCACACACACGTTGTACACGGACTCACACATACATCCTATACAGACTCTCGCGCGCTCACACACGGACTCGAACACACACAGACACACACACACTGACTCGAACACACACAGACACACACACTGGTCATGGTGAGTCATCGTTGTCGGGGTGAGGGTTTGAGTTCCGCAGGGATAGCCTGCGGTTGAGTGTTCCAATTTTTATTCCCCTGTGTGTGTCCGTGTCACCTGTGTGTGTGTGTGTCTGTGTCACGTGTGTGTGTGTCACGTGTGTGTCTGTGTCACGTGTGTGTCTGTGTCACGTGTGTGTGTCTGTGTCACGTGTGTGTCTGTCGTGATCGTGTGCGAGTGTCTTCTGTCTGTATCCATGCGTGCATGTGCGTGCGTGTGTGCATAGCTTTGTATCTCTGTGCGATTATGTCTCTGCAGATGCATGCGCGTGTCCGTGCGATTGTGCGAGCGTGTCTGTATGTGTCTCTCTGCGTCTTGTCTGTCTGCATCGGTGTCTGTCTGTGTCTGCCTGTGTGTCTGTGTCTACCTGCCTCTGTCTGTCCGCGTCTGCCTATGTGTCTGTGTCTGCCTATGTGTGTGTGAGGCTCTGTCTGTGTCGCTCTACCTGTGTCTTGTGTGTCTGCCTGTGTGTCTCTCTTTCCGTGTGTGTGTGTGTCTATCTGCCTGTGTGTGTGTCTGCATGTGCGTGCGTGTGTGTCTATCTGCCTGTGTGTCTGTCTGCCTGTGCGTGCGTGCGTGTGTGTCTATCTGCCTGTGTGTCTATCTGCCTGTGCGTGCGTGCGTGTGTGTCTATCTGCCTGTGTGTCTATCTGCCTGTGCGTGCGTGCGTGTGTGTCTATCTGCCTGTGTGTCTGTCTGCCTGTGCGTGCGTGCGTGTGTGTCTATCTGCCTGTGTGTCTGTCTGCCTGTGCGTGCGTGCGTGTGTGTCTATCTGCCTGTGTGTCTATCTGCCTGTGCGTGCGTGCGTGTGTGTCTATCTGCCTGTGTGTCTGTCTGCCTGTGCGTGCGTGCGTGTGTGTCTGTCTGCCTGTGCGTGCGTCACTCTGCCTGGTGAGTGATTGATGGTGGGATGTGTCGGGGTGTGTGTGTGTGTGTGGATTTTTTTTCTATGATTTTAATTGCGTTGATTACACCCCTCACGACTGTGTGAGCTCCTCCGACCGTGCGATGGTCGATGGTGAGACGCGGGGGGGTCGGTGGTGGGGATCGTTTTGTAGCCACTTGTCCCAAGTTACCAGCCCCGCCAACCAAAACCCACGGACTCACCACTGCTGGATAACGGCCCTCCCCTCCTCCCCCCCCCCCCCCACAAAACCACCACCAACACCACCACCACCTCATCGACCCCTCTCCTCTGTGTGTCTTGGTGCAGTTTTCCTACGTGATCTTTCCGCTTGGGGGTATGAACGTCAGTGCGGTGGTGGTGGTGGTGGTGATGGTGGTGGTGATGGTGGTGGTGGTGGTGATGGTGGTGGTGGTGATGGTGGTGGTTGTGATGATGGTGGTGGTGATGGTGGTGATGATGGTTGTGGTGGTGGTGGTGATGGTGGTGATGGTGGTGGTGATGGTGGTGATGGTGGTGATGGTTGTGGTGGTGGTGGTGATGGTGGTGATGGTGGTGGTGGCGGTGGTGATGGTGGTGATGGTTGTGGTGGTGGTGGTGATGGTGATGGTGGTGATGGTGGTGATGGTGTTCTCAAATCCACGTGCTCCTCTCTCCGCCTTATCCGCCACCGCTGGTTCCGACCCGCCCTCTGGTTCCAGCTCACACGCGCACACAGACTCTCAGTCTGACCATACTTCACCATGCCAGTCAGTGCGGGCTAGGGGGCTGAGGGGGGAGCGGGCGTGGTGGAAATGCGAAAGCGATCCTTGTTTCAGTCCCGTCGTTCCACCACCAGGCCCCTTGGCAGTGAGTTTATCATTTCATCGGGGGGTGCCGTGGTGATTTCGGAGAGGTTATCTCCTTTGGAATCTGCGTCTCTCTCTCTCCACGTGGAGATGTTATCTCCCTCGCCTGGTTCGCAGGAGGTCGTGGGTTCGATCCCGGATCTCGACAGCTGCTGTATAATTTGGAATCTGTGTCTCTCTCTCTCTCCACGTGGAGATGTTATCTCCCTCGCCTGGTTCGCAGGAGGTCGTGGGTTCGATCCCGGATCTCGACAGCTGCTGTATAATTTGGAATCTGTGTCTCTCTCTCTCTCCACGTGGAGATGTTATCTCCCTCGCCTGGTTCGCAGGAGGTCGTGGGTTCGATCCCGGATCCTGATGCCTGCTGTATAATTTAGAATCTGTGTCTCTCTCTTTCCCCGTGGAGATGTTATCTCCCTCGCTTTGTACGCAGGGGGTCGTGGGTTCGATGCCGGATCCCGATGCCTGCTGTATAATTTAGAATCTGTGTATCTCTCTTTCCCCGTGGAGATGTTATCTCCCTCGCTTTGTACGCAGGGGGTCGTGGGTTCGATGCCGGATCCCGATGCCTGCTGTATAATTTAGAATCTGTGTCTCTCTCCACGTGGAGATGTTATCTCCCTCGCCTGGTTCGCAGGAGGTCGTGGGTTCGATCCCGGATCCTGATGCCTGCTGTATAATTTGGAATCTGCGTCTCTCTCTCTCCACGTGGAGATGTTATCTCCCTCGCCTGGTTCACAGGAGGTCGTGGGTTCGATCCCGGATCCTGATGCCTGCTGTATAATTTGGAATCTGCGTCTGCCATCGCCCCCGCCTCCATATTTAAAATCGACGTCACACACGTAGGGGGTACAGCTGATGGTGCATGTACCGGTCATCTCAAGTCAGACGACCCATGGCACCTGCTGGGTCTGTCCTGAGACCTGCACCTAGCCTGGCACAGTAGGGGGGGGGGTACAGCTGGTGGTACATGTACCAGTCATCTCAGTCAGACAATCCCATGGCACCTGTTGGGTCTGTCCTGAGACCTGCACCTAGCCTGGTACAGTAGGGGGGTGTACAGCTGGTGGTACATGTACCAGTCATCTCAGTCAGACGACCCATGGCACCTGCTGGGTCTGTCCTGAGACCTGCACCTAGCCTGGCACAGTAGGTGGGGTGTACAGCTGGTGGTGCATGTACCGGTCATCTCAGTCAGACGACCCATGGCACCTGCTGGGTCTGTCCTGAGACCTGCACCTAGCCTGGCACAGTAGGTGGGGTGTACAGCTGGTGGTGCATGTACCGGTCATCTCAGTCAGACGATCCCATGGCACCTGCTGGATCTGTCCTGAGACCTGCACCTAGCCTGGTACAGTAGGGGGGGTACAGCTGGTGGTACATGTACCGGTCATCTCAGTCGACATATGGCACCTGCTGGGTCTGTCCTGAGACCTGCACCTAGCCTGGTACAGTAGGGGGGGGTGTACAGCTGGTGGTACATGTACCGGTCATCTCAGTCAGACAATCCCATGGCACCTGTTGGGTCTGTCCTGAGACCTGCACCTAGCCTGGTACAGTAGGGGGGGGTGTACAGCTGGTGGTGCATGTACCGGTCATCTCAGTCGACACATGGCACCTGTTGGGTCTGTCCTGAGACCTGCACCTAGCCTGGCACAGTAGGGGGGGGGTGTACAGCTGGTGGTACATGTACCGGTCATCTCAGTCAGACGACCCATGGCACCTGCTGGGTCTGTCCTGAGACCTGCACCTAGCCTGGCACAGTAAGGGGGTGTACAGCTGGTGGTGCATGTACCGGTCATCTCAGTCGACACATGGCACCTGCTGGGTCTGTCCCCGTGACCTGCACCTAGCCTGGCACAGCAGTACAACCCATAGCACCTGCTAGGTCTGTCGCCGATTCCTCCATGCCAGCCAGCGAGCCTTCGAAGCTTCACGTGGTAGCCTCATGAAAGTGGTGCACCTAGCCTGGCACAGGCGCCGCAAGTGACGTCACTGTCACTTGGTGGCTAATGGGCGTTGGTGGTGACCTTGGTGACTTGTGGGTTGGCTGGGGGTGGATCTCCTGTTGTGATACTGTTCATTTGGGTGGGGTGGAGGGTACAACTTGGGATATTGAGTGGTGGATCAGCTGTTCCTGGGAGGAGACATTTCGTGTGTGTCTGTGTGTGTGTCAGTGTGTGTGTGGTGGTGGTGGTGGCGGTGAGTAGGCGGGTGCCAGAGATTATAACTGAGAACCCCTACAACCACAAAGAACAACGGGTTAGGAGTGAGTGGGTGAGTGAGGTGAGTGGGTGGGTGAGGTGAGTGGGCGAGTGAGGGTGAGTGGGTGAGTGAGTGAGTGGGTGGGTGAGTGGGTGGGTGAGTGAGTGGGTGGGTGGGTGAGTGGGTGGGTGAGTGAGTGGGTCAGGTGAGTGAGGTGAGTGGGTGAGGTGAGTGGGTGACGTGAGCGAGTGAGGTGAGTGGGGTGGGTGAGTTGGTGAGTGAGGTGAGTGGGGTGGGTGAGTTGGTGAGGTGGGGTGAGGTGAGCGAGTGAGGTGAGTGGGGTGGGTGAGTTGGTGAGTGAGGTGAGGTGGGGTGAGGTGAGCGAGTGAGGTGAGTGGGGTGGGTGAGTTGGTGAGGTGGGGTGAGGTGAGCGAGTGAGGTGGTGGGCTTGTCTCTGTCTCGCTAACTCTTGTGTGGAGTAGTAAACGCGGCTGTATTCTGAAATGGGGGTTTTGCTGGCTGGCTGGGTGTCTGGGTGCCTGTGCTTAACGGTGATTGGCTCGGGGCAGCTTGTGAGTTTGGAAAGTAAATTTTTAAGGAGGGGGGCGGGCAGGCAGGGTATGAAGTGGGGAGGGGGGGCGAGGTGCCCCCCACTTCCTCCCCCCCCCACTAACGATAATTGTAGGGGGGGGGGTGTGAGGAGCGGGCTCGCTAAGACATTTGATGAGATTGGTTATGGGGGGCTGTTAACCGTGGTGGTGACTTGATGGTTTTGGGGGGGCTGTTTCTGTACTGATTGTGAGGGGGGGTAGGGAGGGAGTGGTGGATTAAGTAGGGGAGAGGGGGGGGGAGCTGTTAGTGGTGGTGACTTGATAGTTTTTTGGGGGGGGCTGTTTCTGTACTGATTGTGGGGGGGTGTTTGTGGGGGGTAGGGAGGGAGGGGGTAGGGAGGGAGGGAGGGGTGTATTAAGTGGGGGTGGGAGGCTGTTAACTGTGGTGGTGACTCGGTTGATAGTTTTTTTGGGGGGGGCTGTTCTTGTACTGACTGAGCAAGGGGTGTGTGTGTGGGGGGGGGGGGTCTCAGTGATACATTTTGTGTGTGGGGGGGGGGGCGGGTGGCAGGGTTTGGTTGGGTGACCGTGGGGGGTATGGGAAAAAAATTGCTTAACCGGTAGCCATCTTCCTAAGGGAAGTAACGTGTGTTCGTGGTGGGGGAGGGGGCGTGGTCCTAGCGGTCAACGTCACTTCCTGCCGACAATGTCGCCGCCCCCTCGGCCAATGACGTAGGGCGCGCCTTGCCAAGATGGTCGCTGTCTCCCACCCCCTTATAAAGATGGTCGCCGCCTCCCACCCCTTAGAAAGATGGCCGCCGCCGCCCTTCGTGCTACGTGCGGTCGCGTTACTCCTCCCCCCTTATGTTTAGTTGTCATTACACAAAAATAAATAAACTTTCTAAAAACTCCACACCGCCAGTGTCGTGGTGGCTCGCTGAGTGAGTGTGTGTGAGTTAGTGAGTGAGTGTGAGTTAGTGACTGAGTGAGTGTGTGAATTAGTGACTGAGTGAGTGTGTGAGTGAGAGTGAGTGAGTGTGAGAGTGAGTGAGTGTGAGTTAGTGACTGGGTGAGTGTGAGTTAGTGACTGAGTGAGTGTGAGTTAGTGACTGAGTGTGTGAGTGAGAGCGAGTGTGAGTGAGTGTGAGTGAGTGTGAGTTAGTGACTGGGTGAGTGTGAGTTAGTGACTGAGTGTGTGAGTGAGAGCGAGTGTGAGTGAGTGTGAGTGAGTGTGAGTTAGTGACTGGGTGAGTGTGAGTTAGTGACTGAGTGAGTGTGAGTTAGTGACTGGGTGAGTGTGAGTTAGTGACTGGGTGAGTGTGAGTTAGTGACTGAGTGTGTGAGTGTGAGTTAGTGACTGAGTGTGTGAGTGAGAGCGAGTGTGAGTTAGTGACTGGGTGAGTGTGAGTTAGTGACTGAGTGTGTGAGTTAGTGACTGAGTGTGTGAGTGAGTGAGAGTGAGTGCGTGTGAGTTAGTGACTGAGTGTGAGTTAGTGTGAGTTAGTGACTGAGTGTGAGTTAGTGACTGAGTGTGAGTTAGTGACTGTGAGTTAGTGACTGAGTTAGTGACTGAGTGAGTGTGAGTTAGTGACTGAGTGAGTGTGAGAGTGACTGAGTGTGTGAGTGAGTGAGAGTGATTGAGTGTGAGTTAGTGACTGAGTGTGAGTTAGTGACTGAGTGAGTTAGTGAGTGAGTGTGAGTTAGTGACTGAGTGTGTGTGAGTGTGTGACTGAGTGTGAGTGAGTGTGTGAGTCAGTGAGTGAGTTAGTGACTGAGTGTGTGAGTTAGTGAGTGTGTGAGTTAGTGTGTGAGTCAGTGAGAGTGAGTGTGTGAGTGAGTCAGTGACTGAGTGTAAGTGACAGTGAGTGAGTGTGAGTTAGTGACTGAGTGTGAGTGACTGTGTGACTGTGAGTGACTGTGAGTGACTTAGTGTGTGAGTCAGAGTAAGTGAGTGACTTGAGTGTGCGTGTGTGACTGAGTGTGAGTAAGTGACTGAGTGTGAGTGAGTGTGAGTGAGTGACTGAGTGTATGTGAGTGTGAATGAGTGGGCTGGTCTCATCCACAAAACAAACGCTGCCTTTGAGAAAGACGCCCAACGCAGAACTCCCCCACCATGCCCTGTTATCTCCCACCATGCCCTGTCATCTCCACCATGCCCTGTTATCTCCCACCATGCCCTGTTATCTCCCACCATACCCTGTTATCTCCACCATGCCCTGTTATCTCCCACCATACCCTGTTATCTCCCACCATGCCCTGTTATCTCCACCATGCCCTGTTATCTCCCACCATGCCCTGTCACCTCCCACCATGCCCTGTTATCTCCACCATGCCCTGTTATCTCCCACCACGCCCTGTTATCTCCCACCATGCCCTGTTATCTCCCACCATGCCCTGTCACCTCCCACCATGCCCTGTTATCTCCCACCATGCCCTGTTATCTCCCACCATGCCCTGTTATCTCCCACCATGCCCTGTTATCTCCCACCATGCCCTGTTATCTCCCACCATGCCCTGTCACCTCCCACCATGCCCTGTTATCTCCCACCATGCCCTGTTATCTCCCACCATGCCCTGTTATCTCCACCATGCCCTGTTATCTCCCACCACGCCGTTATCTCCCACCATGCCCTGTTATCTCC